ACTCTCCGTTTACCATTTGGAAAGGAGCGATTAAGCCAAAGTTAGGCTGTCCGAAATAAACATAACACCAATAAAGTATATATAAAATAATAATTCTCATTATACTACAGTGAAAACTCCGATAAGCGGACAGTCACGGTTCCACAAAAAATGTCCGGTTACGGGAGATGTCCGCATAATAGAGATATGTATTTAATTAAAAAATATTTATTTTCAGCTTTTTTATTGTCTATATATGTTTTATGACATTTTTCAACATAGAAACTTATTGTGCCGGTTTATTAACATATTCAAAAATACTAGTTTGGCGCGTTTTTTGAAATCTTTGTTGAATAATCCAATGCTGAAAATGGGTTTCAAGGTTTTGTTGAAACGCAATAAAATCATCTCCTTGAAAATATTTTTAAAAGGGAAATTGCATTTAAGGCATCATCATACGATTTTCGCCGGTCCATTTCTCAGATTTGAATGTTAACGTTTTGTCTGGTAATGCACGAAAAAAAAGTCCGGTCTCATCTGCGTTGAAAACGTCCTCCGGCTTGTAGCCAAGCAACATCCAGTATCCATGTAGCGAGCCACTCTAAACTCTTTTTTATCTATGTCACTTTTTAGGAAACTCCATTTTTGCCCTACATTGTCACCACACTGTGATTTTGTTCTAATATCTTCTTTTTTTTTTGTTATTTCTGCCGCTTGAGTTTTTCCGATCTTAAATCGCCGTGCTAGTTCTCGAACGGACTCTGTTTCTTTATCTAAAGCATTTAATATTTCCATTTTTTTCTTTAAAAGAAAGCATTTTCTTTTTTGGAGCCATGTTCACAAACACTCTCTATATGTGCTCGAAACTTAATGGCACTATCCTCGATGAATAAAGTAAGTCAAAACATCCTAAACGGGGAATTAAGGAATTTGTGAAAGAATTCCCCGGTTGAAAATTGCTTATTTATGATAAGGGTTTTATTCGTAGACCGCGTTTTGCAGGTTCGTGACCGCTTGAAAGAGCTTTTCAACTCCGTTTGATCATAATATTCATGTCTGCGTCCGTTTAATAGAATGTCCGCTTATTAGAGCTGTCCGCAAGTAGAGCTTTCACTGTAATTGGCTAAAAATCATACTTGTTTATTTTATTTTGTTTTATAAAATAATGGTTTTTTGTCCTGCCATTTTAACGTATTCTTTAATCTATTTAAACAACCACGTTTTCCATGGTTTGTAACGCAGTTTATTTGAAACGTTTTATTTACGTATGAGTCTTACAGTAATGATAATAATTTTATCATACTTTGATTAGTATCTTCCCGGTTTCATTCAGAACATCAATAAATCAATCAATATGCATCTTAAAAATTTGACATAATTTTAGAAATTGCCAAAAAATGGTACCAATCTGTTTAATGATCCAATCGCTCAACATGTTGGTGGTATAAGAACGCCAAACCGATAGGAACTTTTAATTACAAACCGCTACCCTGTAAACATGCAAATTTTTTATAGAATTAACAATAATTTTCGTTTACAGGTGTATGTGTCCAAACAGAAACTGTATTGAGACAAGCTATTGCTGAACGTATTAAGCCCATTCTGTTCATGAACAAAATGGACCGTGCTCTGCTTGAATTGCAATTGGACGCAGAAAAACTTTTCCAAACTTTCCAACGTATTGTTGAAAACGTCAACGTAATCATTGCCACCTACAATGATGACAGTGGTCCCATGGGTGAAGTTCGAGTAAGTGCATTAAATAGTAATATTAGTAGTTTTTTGGTACTCTTCCTAGTTATTCGAGCTAATATAAATGAAGCATACTATAAGTTGGTATGCTTGAACTTGGTTCGATAAAGTAGGGGTCACATTTTGCCCTGTTGTGTTCGTTTAATGTATGCAACAGTTTCCTACAGTGAAACATTACAATACATTTTTTATAGGTTGAAAATTCTTGGTTTCATATTATTTATTTTACTGTATTATTTATTTAGGTCGATCCCAGTAAAGGTTCAGTTGGTTTCGGATCTGGTCTTCATGGTTGGGCGTTCACTCTCAAACAGTTCGCTGAAATGTACGCCGAAAGGTTCAAGATCGATGTCGTCAAACTAATGAACAGATTGTGGGGTGAAAGTTTCTTCAACCCGAAAACCAAGAAGTGGAGTAAGCAAAAGGATGATGATAACAGGAGATCATTCTGTATGTACATCTTGGATCCGATCTATAAAATATTCGATGCCATCATGAACTATAAGTAATTTTTTTAATCCAGTACTTGAGCTTTACATAACCGGTGTTAATTACCATTTTCAGAAAAGACGAATACGAATCACTTCTTCAGAAGTTAGGTATTGTATTGAAACATGAAGATAAGGACAAGGATGGCAAACAGCTGTTGAAAGTAGTTATGCGTACTTGGTTGCCAGCTGGAGAAGCTCTGCTTCAGATGATAGCCATTCACTTACCGTCTCCGGTGACAGCACAGAAGTATAGAATGGAAATGTTGTATGAAGGTCCTCATGACGATGAAGCTGCTTTGGGTACGTAATTTAGCAAACGTTTTTTTATTGAGACAACTTAGTCATTTTGATGAAGAATTTATTACCGCCCCAGTCTGAAAACTGTGAGTGACTGGTACCGACTGATACTAAAATATATGCATATAATTTTTATTTCATCATTACTTCTGGGTAAAAATTTCATGTTTTCTTTTTTTTTCAGGAATTAAAAACTGCGATCCAAATGCACCACTCATGATGTACGTATCTAAAATGGTACCTACATCTGATAAGGGCCGTTTCTATGCGTTCGGTCGTGTATTCTCTGGTAAGGTTGCAACTGGCCAAAAAGCCCGGATTATGGGACCCAACTATGTACCTGGAAAGAAGGAAGACTTGTATGAGAAAGCTATCCAAAGAACAATTCTCATGATGGGTCGTTACGTAGAGGCCATTGAAGACGTTCCTTCCGGTAACATCTGCGGATTGGTTGGAGTCGATCAGTTCTTAGTAAAGACTGGTACAATCACCACTTACAAAGATGCCCATAACTTGAAGGTCATGAAGTTCAGTGTGTCCCCTGTTGTGCGAGTTGCTGTGGAACCTAAAAATCCAGCCGATTTGCCAAAACTCGTAGAAGGTTTGTATGTTTAACTGATTAAATACTCAAATTTTATGTTGCCAATGTTTGGAAATTGCAAATTTGCACTAAATTAAAAAAAAATGTTTCAATTTTCGTAAGTAACCGCCGCAATTTCTTGGTAGGGTTGAAACGTTTGGCCAAATCAGATCCTATGGTACAATGTATCATTGAGGAATCCGGTGAGCATATTATTGCTGGAGCCGGTGAACTTCACTTGGAAATCTGTTTGAAAGATTTGGAAGACGACCACGCCTGCATTCCGATCAAGAAATCTGATCCAGTTGTATCATACCGTGAAACAGTCAGTGAGGAATCCGACCAGATGTGTTTATCAAAATCGCCGAACAAACACAATCGGTAAGAACTAGCAAATACTGAAAATATCCTTCCAGCACATTCAGAGCCACTATATAGTTAATGCAATGGCACTTCGGTGCTGTTCAATAATGATGATATTGTTGGCAGTGCAATGGAAGAAGATAAATATCTGAATAGTTAAACGCTGTTACGGAACCTCTATCTTTATGTTCAGTGGTGACACGCTACGGTATTCGGAATACACTTTTTATGTGATTAATTGAAACATGTCTTAATTTCTTTTTATAATTAGCATACATTGCTCATTTACAATTGTTTTCACTTCTAGATTGTTTATGAAAGCTCAGCCAATGCCCGATGGTCTCGCCGAAGATATTGATGATGGAAAAGTCAATCCACGTGATGAATTCAAAGCCCGTGCCCGTTATTTGGGTGAGAAATATGACTACGATGTTACAGAGGCTCGTAAAATCTGGTGCTTCGGTCCTGATGGCACTGGACCTAACATCTTGGTTGATTGTACTAAGGGAGTTCAATACTTGAACGAAATTAAAGACTCCGTTGTTGCTGGTAAGTTCAAAATGTTTGTGGTTGCTCATTATGTACCAACCGGTTATTGTGACTGATAGATTTAAGAATAGAGATCTTTTGTTGAGTATTGATCCGTTTCAGCATTCCCATGCAGAATTCTTCATATCATAAGTCATTCTGTGCATAAATGCTGATAGATCGTATCCTGTATATCCTCTAATCTATTTCAGTCTAAATAGTTTAGGACGGAAACGCAGGAAACATTTTTTACTTATAGTTCCATATTAATTACATAGAACAAAAGGAGATAAATTTACCAAGATTACTTTTCTCGCAGGTTTCCAATGGGCCACCAAGGAAGGTGTTCTCTCAGAGGAGAACTTGCGCGGTGTTAGATTTAACATTTTTGATGTAACTCTGCACGCGGACGCAATCCATCGTGGAGGTGGTCAAATCATTCCCACTACTCGTCGTTGTTTGTATGCTTGCTTACTTACCGCTTCACCCAGGCTTATGGAACCTGTTTATCAATGTGAAATTCAGGTATGTTACAATAATACACATTAAGCCTTAACCCTTATCGGACGCTGGTTTTTTAGAGGTGATTATTATATCTTTTAGCGAATGTTTATTTTTGCCTATTCATATGTCAACTGATATCAAAAGTCAAAAGATAGGAGCAATTTGCAAATATTTTCAGGTTGCAGCGAGAAATACTGTCTTAAACTGCCGATAAGGGTAAATAATATAAACTTCTTGTTCTCGTGCCATCATTATTCAGTATTCAATGATAAAGCAAAATCTTACAATACTTGCACATGATGGTAGAGCATTTTGTCTTTTTTTCTGATTCTGAACGACTCATTGAATTCTCAGAATTGGAATTGCAAGACAGACATTAATTTTACACAAAACTATAAAGAAAATGAAATATAAGTGTTATGAAGTTGCAATGTATGTGTAAATCAAATTTTCTACTCAGTGTCCCGAAGCCGCTGTTGGAGGTATCTACAGTGTATTGAACAAAAGACGTGGTCATGTATTCGAAGAAATGCAGGTTGTTGGTACTCCGATGTTTGTGGTGAAAGCCTATTTGCCTGTAAATGAATCATTCGGTTTTACCGCTGACCTTAGGTAAGTTAATTGAATAATTTGCCATTACAATTAAATCAAATCCAGCATTACCCATGCAGAGTTGTTGAACTTCAAAATTACTATGTGTATCAATGCTGGAAGAAAATATCCTGTATATCCTCCAGCTAATTGTATTATGGTTTGTCTGGCACGGAAAGGCAGGAAACACTGCTTGTTTCTGTTGTCAACGACACGCGCTTTAACTATCTAGACATGTGTAATTATTAAATTTTAATTGCTTTAATGTTTGCAGGTCTGGCACTGGAGGACAGGCCTTCCCACAATGTGTGTTTGATCATTGGCAAATTTTGCCTGGCGATCCGCTGGAGTCTGGAACAAGACCTTATGGAGTTGTGCAGGTAAATTTTATATGACTCAAGCATATTTGCAATGCATGTCCATCCTTAGACAATGTTTTATATTATTTCCATATATAAAACATTCGCAAGAGATGGTAAATCGACGGTCTTTTAGTTTCGGTTTTAAAGTGATTCGACTTTCTAGCCAGAATAGGGGGACAAACACAATAATTTACGGTTAATACTTTGACAAAACTAATTATTCCCGTAGTAAATGAGTAATTTCTTTTGCAGGACACCCGTAAGCGAAAGGGTCTTAAGGAAGGACTTCCCGATGTTACCCAATATCTTGATAAAATGTAGTAACATACATTACTTTTGTACAGTTAAGGTTAATTTTAGTTTATTTCTACAAAATATTTAAATTAGAATATGCAAATATTCTGATTAACATATTTTATCAGATCAGTGTATTTATCAGTTCAATTTTTTTCACGCAAAATTAAAATCCTCCAGAAACGATTTTGTCTTAATTATTGCCGAAATGATATTAGTTATTACTGAAACATGTTTTTGAAAATTAAATTTAAAGAATCCCAAGTGTTCTACACTTTCAACAATAAATATTCGGTTATTTTAAAAATATTCAGTTAGTTTTCCTGATTTCTGTCGAACAATTCTACACTTTGGAGCCAAGCTGAAAATTCAAAGGTGAGTTGTCTTACAATACTGTTAAATTTATTTCTAAGTTAAAATAAATCTTGCGATAATATGAATACTTTGCACATTTACACGAAATGATGAAAATCTCTAGACTGGAATACTTCATGACGGTCTAAAAAAATGCTCAAAAGGTCTGAAAATGTCCATTTCTTTTCACATTCAAGCATTATAGCGACGTGTCTTTTAAATTTACTAAATTTTTATTTCAGGTCATTCGAACACGAAGCAAATTGACATTCATAGTTAGTGGTGAGTAGTATTTCAGATGTTTAAATACAATTTAACTCGAATTAAAGCCGCGTTAAAGTTGATGAATTTTTTCTAAGACTGGAATCTCCATGACGGTCAAAAAAATGCTCAAAAGGTCTGAATGTTTTCATTTTTTAATCATGTTTTTTGCTGGTTAATTATGTTTCCTGAAAGTTATTTTTATTTCTAGTCGAACATGAACACCACTTCGAAGGTTATGAATGATTATCCATATGGTGAGTAACACTTCAGTTTGAACTGCTTTTGAATTATTTTTCGTATCTTTGACTATTTTGATTAAACAAAATCAGAGTTATCAAAAGATAGAGACTTTCGAGACCATTCGTTGAAACTAGTGGGTTTTTCGGGTTTTTAGGCAGTCGTTTTGCAAGAACGAGTTAGTGGCTTACATCTTCAGAGGTAGTTTGCTTGAACTCTTACACTGTTCTGATGATTGGCATCAGATAAAAGCCCAGTAGTTTCAAAATTAGAGTTAATAATTTCAATATGATGAATAGAATTACCGCCCCAGTCTGATAACTATGATTGATTGGTTCAAATGGATCTGACTATTTTAGATATCATTCTAAACGTTTTGTGGCAACTACACATATTTCAACTTTATATATATTTTTTCTAGAAGTACATTGTTGGTAGCGAGGGAAGGAAGCCTTGAAGATTGTGAAGATTCATTCTGAACGTGTTTGAAATCGAAGTTTTGAGGTAACCCATTTTACGTATTTTAATTAGAATTATCATTGAATGTGACTAAAATATAGGTTGAATTTCAAATAGATGTTTTTTTAAACGGATTCTAAGAGTTAGTGCAGTTTGGTTATTAGTAAGGTGTATATTTTTTAAGCAAAATTCTTTTTGCTTTAATGACGTAATAATTCAATCCCAATCAGCAAACTTGAAAGCAATACTTTTTACTGACTAATGATGAATAGAATTACCGCCCCAGTCTGATAGCTATGACTGATTGGTACAAATGGATCTGACTATTTTAGATACCATTCTTAACGTTTTGCGGCAACTACACATATTTCAACTTTCTATTTTTTTTTGCAGAACTACATTGTTGATAGAGAGGGAAGCCTTCAAGATGGTGAAAATGAATTCTTAACGTGTTTGACATCGAAGTTTTGAGGTAAACCATTTCACGTATTCAAATTAGAATTATCATTGAATGTTACTGTAATTGTACTGCTTGAATATCAAATAGATGTTTTTTGCCGAAAAGATTAGTACGAAAAGAGTGGTACAGTTTAGTTATTGTGTATATTTTCTCACCTATTCTGGATAGTAACATTTTTTAAGCAAAACTCCTTTTTTACTTTAATTTAACAATTTAATTCCAATCAGCAAACTTGAAAGCAATACTTTTTACTTACTAATGATGAATAGCTTTACCGCCCCAGTCTGACATTTATGAATGATTGGTATTACTGAATATTTTATCTATTCTTTTAACTGTTGCACTCAAATTACATGGATTAAACTGTTGGTTTTTTATAGGCATTATGACGGCGAAACATGGCTGATCTGCAGATTGTCCAGAAAATCACCGGTATTAAAGTAAGACATTTTATTTACAAAATAGATATTTTCAGTTTTACTTTTAACTCGTTATACGCGATTACAAAACAGCCTTGGAATATACAAAAAAATACATTTTGATTACTACTTTTTTGCTTTATCACTGATTTTTTTTTCAATCGCGACATTTTAAATCAGATTTGTGCCTTATTTTTGATATTTTGTTGTAGACGTTACTGAATGATTCTGTTTGTTTCTATTTAATCTAAATAGTTGTACCTATATATACATTTAATTTTTATTGATATGATGACGAATATCATACGTAGAGAAGCTGACTTTTTTCAGTGTCAATGTTTGTTGCCAAAAGGATTCTGAACCAAATTAATTGAAATTATTATGTCATCAATGCGCATTTCAACTATTCAATCATGTTTTTGTTATTTTTAGGTACCTCCTTAAACTTTTCTACTCTAAGAGAGCAGCAGTGGAGAAATGGTGAGCTATACTATTTTTTTTTACATTTTTGAACCATGCGTTGAATCGATCAATTAGGTCTTAAGAGCGATTACAAAAATTATTAGTGGAATAACGAGATTTTTTTGTTTACATATTCTTTTCAATCGCGACATTTCAAATCATAGACACCATGTTCCTTAGTTTTGAATGTGCATCTGAATTGAATATTGGATAATCGTCTCGGTAATTGATTTTTATACAAGTTACTGAACGTTTGTAATTTTTTTTTACTATAGATCCTTATTAAATATTATGTTAATTATTATATGGATTAAAATTTTATTGATATGATGACAAATATCGTCGAACGTAGAGATGCTGAATTTCTTCAGTATCAATGTTTATTGCCAAAAGGATTCTGATCGGAGTTATTTGAAAATATCATGATATTAATGAGTATTGCAACTATTCAATAATATTTTGTTATTTTTAGGGACCTTGTTCCACTTGCCAGAGAACAGCGATAGGGAAATGGTGAGTTACACTATTTTTTCGCTTACATTTGTACCCCACACACCTAAGCCGGCCGTCTTCATATATCAAATGGAAATGGTGTGCTCGTAGTGGGAACAGTAATGTCTGTTCTTGTGTATGGTAGATTGGTAATTTCTTCTGATTCTACCAAAGGAAGCTCAGAAACATTTCAACCAAAACAATAGATATTTTTAATAATTTCATTGTTAGTCTCAAACTCTTGGTTTATTGTCTAATAGTGAATCTTCAATTTCAGGAAGAATAAGTACAGCTGAATCAGGTAAAGATATAATTGTTAATATTTATTTACTATAATTATATTATACGTAAATGTATGTTGCTTGTGTTTTTTCTTTACTCCCAGTCAGAGTCCCAGAGTTGGCAAGACTTGCTCTGCTCGAGTTACTTTAGCATGCGTGTGGTCCAAAAAAGGTTATGTGCAGCGGAAGTTTTAAATTGAGTAAATGTTTTTCTAAAGATTTTGGTGTATTGCGGTTTGTAAAAAATGTTGTAAGGTTTTTACGCAATGCAGATAGAGCGGTTGCTTCGGGTTCGATTTACGTTTTTAATTCCTATACGTAATGAGATTTATGGAGCTGTGACTAGTCTCACAATCGCTTTTAGATTAAATTTGTCACCACTCAAAAACGACTTAAGATGCTCATCAGTTAGCTTCATTCATCATATTTGTTTGAGATTAGACCCGGTATTACTATCATATATTAAATTAATTACTTTCCCATCATTTGCGCGTCAAAAGCATTACATTTAACTTTTTAGCAGGCTTTTGTCAAATATTTTTTCCCTGTAAAATGTTTACACCAATTTTGATACCAATAATCGACCTTGCACTGATGATAAGAACTTCATTGCACTTGCTTTTTCAATCATAATTTTTCCCCAAGTTCAAAAATCCCCTCGACAGTGCTTTTTCTCTGGGCTGCCTCTACTTCTAAAGTCACAAAATTAGCATTCGTTGCGAAGCAAGTAGTAGATTTGGCCAATTATTACAGAGATACAACACATTTAAAAAGCTTCTCTTATTTCTCAGACACAAAATATGTTCAACAATGATCTATATAAAAACAGCATTAGTCCTTTAGTAATATTTTATTTTAATGAAATAGTTCAACAACAAATAAAGCGAGTTAGTATTAATTTATTAAATGTACAAGTCCTAATTTATAATGATTCGAATCACTTTTAGCATGATTAAAATGAGAAATTTTTTATTTTCAATAGTAAAATGTTCTGTCATGTGTTTGAAATGGGGGAATTCGGAAAGCGACCTGCTAGAATCATATTTTTTATGTTTTACTTTGAAGGGCATTACTAATAAATCAATATACTACCATTTGATGAGGAAATGATTCATAAATACTACTTGTTAAGTCTTAAAAATTAACTATATTTACAATGTAATTTCACATATACAGGGTGATTCAAAATTGGCGTCATTCCTCTGGAGGTGTAGTTTGACGCTGAGTACAGGGAAAATAGTAAAATAAATTGATTGTTATTAAAAACTGAAAAATTTGCAAAAAAACTCAGAAATACGGCAGCAATGTTTTTCAAGGTAATCTGCCTAATTAACATTGCGCAAATACCTGTGGCTTCGTAATTATTTAAAACTCCGGTTCCATGGAATTATACAGACTGACAATAAGATAGACAAGGATAAACGGTAAATTCAACATGAGCCGTTGGATGACGGAACCTATTTCGAAGTGTCAACCTGTTCTCATAACCTCGAATATTGTGTTTATAAACCAAACATTTCAATGGTTAACTCCAAACAAGCTAGTGCCTGGGTAACCTCCTTATTATCCGCGCTTCAAGGAGCTTCTCGTATTCAGTTAATTATCTCTTGCTCCATTTCTATCTTCTTGTGCTGTGTGTATCGTACAAACGTGGTTGTAATGTAGCCGGTATTTATTTGGCGCTTGGGAAAGTGTCAGTTATTGTGCTCTGAGTGCCCTGATTCGATTATGTCGAATCAGGACCTGTGTCTGGAACCCGAACATCTATTGCCGTCCAT